CACACACACACACACACACACACACACACACACACACACACACGCACACATGAATCGGTGAAAGTCAGACGAAACAGTCTGGCACAGTCTTGCTTTTTTTGAGTGTATAGCGAATATGACAACACACACACACACACACACACAGATCGCACACTTCGAAAACGAGAAAAAAAAAACTGCAGATTCATAGGTACAGGTGGGCGCAAAAAAGGCCCCAAAACAGGACAAAAAATAAAAAAATTCTGTGGATTTTTTTGGCCTGCCTGGGGTACTTCTCCGGGCAGTGCTGCCCGGGTTGTCCGGCCAGGGGTGTCCTGCCGGGCGACCCTGGTAACACAGCTTTTCAATACGTATTTTAATTCTTAAACCATTTTCTACCTTTTAATTCTGGACAGGCCTCTGAACAGTCCGATTTCAGACCATGGGATTCGGATTGCTGGGACAGACACCACCCCAGATGTCTGTATTGTAGCCAGCATGACTCAAAACCAACGGTCACAGAAGGGACAGCTCACCCTTGAAGAGGGCCACTGGCTGGCCATTTTCTCCCCCAGTCATGTCGATTTGGAAATTGCTCTTGCTCACACCGCCCATAACAACGTCGTCAAGAGCGCCCCATGCCGGACCTGACGGTATGCCCTTCTCTGCAGCAATCACACGTCAGAATGTCAGATTACAGGCAGGAGAGACAAAACTATGGCAATCTCAGATCTTTTAAAAGGGTTCATCCACCCCTAGCTAGGTTGTCAAGCCCATCCAACAACAGAACAGTGAGACCCCCTGTCACCCTTACCCCGTCCTTCCCCTTCCTGGCACTGATTTTTGTTGCCCAACAGCAATTGGGGAGGATTTTTGCAGGGCTGAAGGATAGCGATAAAAACTGTTCAGCTGGCACTCCTTACCTTGTGCTGATTACAGCGAGGAGGAGGTGGTGGAGGAGAGGAGGAGGAGGATTGATGATGATGATGATGATGATGATGATAATGATGATGATGATGATGATGATGATGATGATGACGATGATGATGATGATGATGATGATGATGATGATGATGATGAGGATCAGTAATTCAACGATGATGACAGTGATGATAAGGTAGAAAGGGGAGGGAAGGCAAAGGAAGGGAAAGGAAGGCAAAGGAAGGCAAGACTAGGCAAGGCAAGGCAAGGCAAGGGAAGGGAAGGCAAGGCAAGGGAAGAGAAGGCAAGGCAAGGGAAGGCAAGGGAACAAGGGAAGGGAACAGAAGGGATTGGAAGGGAACAAAAGGGAAGGCAAGGCAAGGCAAGGCAAGGCAAGGCAAGGCAAGGCAAGGCAAGGCAAGGAGACAAGGGAAGGGAAGGCAACGGAACGGAATGGAATGGAAGGGAAGGCAAGGCAAGGCAAGGCAAGGCAAGGCAAGGCAAGGGAAGGCAAGGCAAGGCAAGGGAAGGCAAGCGCAGGGACTGTCTCTTATACACATCTAGATGTGTATAAGAGACAGGAGATGCACTGACTGGCAAGTAAGGGCGATGAAGCAAACAACTAGACAGACAGACAAAGAAGGCAAGGCAAGGCAAGGGAAGGCAAGGCAAGGCAAGGGAAGTCTCTTATACACATCTAGATGTGTATAAGAGACAGAGGCTGCGAAGAAATCGAAGAAGACCGCCAAGAAGTCGGCGAAAAAGGCTGCCAAGAAGACCGCGAAGAAGGCTGCCAAGAAAACAGCGAAGAAANGGCAAGGCAAGGCAGGGCAGGGCAAGTCAAGGCAAGGCAGGGCGAGGCGAGGCGAGGCGAGGCAAGGCAAGGCAAGGCAGAATGGAAACAAGAAAGGAGGAAGAAAGGAAGGAAGAAAGAGAGAAAGATGGAGAGGCCATCCAGGCCCACTTGTAGGTAGCCGAGCCAGCAGGTATACAGACCAACCCACCAGCCCAGCAACAGATAGGTAGACAGGCAAACAGGCAGAGCCAGACATGCAGGCAGGCATGCAGACAGACATACAGACAGGCAGGCAGACACACGGGCTGGCAGACATGCAGGCAGGCTGACTGACTGACTGGCTGGCTGGCCGACTAACTGACAGACCGGCAGATGACTAACAGAGTGACGGACAAACAAATGGACAAGCAGGTAGGCATGGAGATGGACACACAGATGGACATACAGATAACTTGACTGACAGGCTGACTTATTTATTGATTGATTGATGGTGGTTATTGCCTTGAAGGTAAGAACACGCACATTCTTTCTTCTTAGTTGAGAAGGTGATCATGAGGAGCTTCTACAGAAGCTGGATATAGGGGCTGGAACTCAACATAACCATGCCTGGATCCCAGTAACCGACCTGAGATTGTGAGGAGTGGCAGGCCATTCCGTAATCCTAGCTTTGAGCCAACTGCATCCAGCAAATTGACCATCCCACGGTAATCCACTGCCTCTGGAGTGTTTCCTTTGATCTGAAAGTATCACAAATATAAAAATTCCTTGTGTAAGTCAGTATGTTCACACTCAAGTAACAATTAAGAATGCATAAAATGCAAGCTTCAACATCAGATATTGAACACAGATACAAATCCACCAAAGTGAGATCACACACACACACACACACACACACACACACACACACACACACACACACACACAATCAGTTTTATGTTTGTCTGCTTTCCTGTTGTTGTCTGTCCTTCCCCTGATCTTTTTCTAAGTGTTTTTGCTTGCCCAAACTGAGCACCCTTAAGTGGTGCCAAACAGTCGGTGGTTCCTCGTTTGGAGTGCCTACTGCACTCTTATGGGGCCGCTCAGTTCGGGATGTCTGTGTTGCCTGTAGGTGATGACGGATGCTCGTCGAGTGTTTCCCTGGCTCAGTGGGTGGTGGGAACCAACAGTCTGTGGGGTTCACCCGTGATGTGAGTAGGTGATGTGCTGCTTTGCTCCGTGTTGGATGTGTGGACTGCCTCGTCTGCGTACCACCGCCGCCTTGCTGCCTGTCCCGCTTGCTTTGCATGTGGTTCTCCGCAAGTTGTTGTGTTCGCTGTGTGGTGTGGCTGTGTTGTCGGTGTTGCCTTGCGCTTCGCTGCTCCGCTGCCGTGCTGCCCATCCGCTGGCCGTGCCTTCCGTGTTTCCACGCTGCGTGCCATGTCTTTCCTTGCAGTCGTTTTTGGCGTTGTGCAGCCGTGTTGCCTCTACTGTGCTGCCTGGTGCTCCACAGGGTCGCCGCCCGCTGCTATGTTCCGCTTGGGGACAGTCTGCCTTCAACAAGGGTCAAAGGGTTCATGACCCAAACCATCTAATACGGAGATTCCTGCAGATTGTCAAGGGTTCAGCCTCCTGATGAGTCGGTGAAACTCCAACGAAACAATCTTTCATCATCAGTTTTTATTTTTTTCGGTCCTTGAAACTTTTATGGACTTCACTTTTTTTCTGATTTGCCTGCTTTGTGTGCGTGTTGTTGTCTGCCATCCTATATCCCTTGTGTCCTCCAGCCCCTGCCGTGTCTGTTGCTTGTGTGTTGTCTGCCCTCCCTCCTCCCCCATACCCTCCAGCCTATGCGTTGTCTTTGTGTCTGTCGCCCGTGTGTTTCGTTGTTGTCCCTTCCTTGCCTTTGGACTCGACTCCACTCAGATGCCTATTCTCCTCCTGAAGTGTTGTGATGGTATGGTGCATGGTTTTTACTGTGCAGAGGCTTCCGCAATATGTGTTCACACACATCATCACACACACACACACACACACACACACACACACACACTCACATGCACACACAAACTGCTGAGAACTGCCCCAATCTGTTGAAATGAAAAAGGCAACACAGGCTTCCTACATCATACCTTCATTGTCATTTGAACTGCTACAAAAGCCAATTGCGAAGCTATTCAAAATAATTCAATCAATCAGAATTTCAGAAGGTATTCAATTGTCATCCACAGGGAGGACCAGTAAATTTCCCAGCCATTTTTCTAGGACATGGCATTTGGGGGGTATACGGGGTATAGGGGGTATAGG